GGTGCCTCTAAACTAGTGAATTTAAGTGGTAGGTTTTAGGGAGTTCAAATAAAGATTCTGAGTGTGTACACCCTGATCATAAGGCATAATCCAATTTTAAATTCTTGTCTATAAATATTCTACATTTCGAAAAGTTCAGATACATGAAAAACCACTTGGAATTGGTAAATAGTACGAGACGATTATATGTAAAATAATCCCCTTTGATTTAATCGGAACTCTGAATAACTCTGAATTATCAGCGACTTCCTTTCCATAATTCACAGCTTTCCAGAACCACTCCGTTGTTACCTTTAGTTTGACTGTTCCTATCCGGGTTATTTAAAAGTCACTTAAGGTGGGTAGAATTCTATATTTCTGTCCTTTCAAGCTAATAAAGTCATCGGAACCGTCAACTAGTTTTTTACGCGTGTATTTCATTAGACCAGAGTTTTAGTTACTGTTATAGATAAGACTTCATGAAAGAGTCCTGGTTTTCACTGACAGTTCCACTTTATTTCAGTCGCTTTGGTCACTTCAACATCGTCTCAAGAATGGCTTACACTCTCCCCTTGAGTATTACTTTTCTTGTCCATATAACCTTTCTTTTGGTGTTCAGCTATCATCAAGAGCGTGACAATAAACTTTCTCGGGTTTATTTGTATTTTTGTTTCCTTTTGCACCAAACTTATTGTACTCTACAGATTCTAACTCAGAACCGTTAGCAACACGTTAATTAACACTGGGATGATAATTTAGAAAGTGAAAGTTAAATAAGTTGTTGTTTGTCTCCATAAATTTGTATTCTTTTTTAGAATTTTAAGTTTTCAGATATGTAAACTGACAAGAGAATAAGACAGATTAGATTGGTTGGTTGATCAGTGAAAAACAACTAATTTCACGTTGTCAAGTCCTGAGTGCTGACAGAATTCCATCCATCATTTTCACTGTGGCCACCAAACCACGAGGTTTACCAACTTAGTGCACTTTCAGTGTATATTATTTGGTTCGAGACAGTCAGCAGGAAGCCCTGGACCTAGGACTCGTGCTTGTTGACACTCGTCAGCAAGGCGTATCTGCAATTTCGAGGAAACTGATGTCTCCTGAGATATTAGAACTCACGTCACCCAGTGTTGCAGTTGGAGACGTTACCATTGAGCTAATCAGGTGGAGCATATGTCCAGGGATTCCTATCAATTTCCTTCAACCAACTAACGTAGTTCAGATTCTTCTGGATAGACAATCTGTTCAGCCAATATCCCCTTAAGAATTCCAGCTGTAAATCAACAGGTTTTATGTAAACTGATAAACAGAAAAGTGAGGCAGAGAAAATTTACTTAGTTACAAACAGTTAGTTTCACATAGAGATCTTAAGACAATGACCTAAACAAACCTTTCAGTTACTCCCTCAGTCACACACACACACACTAACTGGTTATGTGCTAATAAAAGAGCGAACATTTTAGAAGGGCACGTTACTGGCAGACGGAGGAATATCTAACCATTCTCATAGTTCATATGATCTATAATATCAAACGTAAAGGTAAACTAAACTTTTTCAGACTGAAACAAGTAACTGATAAAGTCGAGGAACAGAGGTGAAACACAATGTTTAAGTGCCAAATAAGATAAGATAGAATTTTCAGCTCAAAACTCTATAAGAAAAAGCAACTGATGACACTAATTTTTTCCCGCGCAGATAAAAACCGGATCAGACATTTCAGTTGGGAGTCTATGCTGTCTTACAGGTGCAACATTTTTTTCTTGCTGTTTTCATTAGTGATATTTTGAATTCCATCTTCATACATGTACTTGGATATAAGAACTCAAAAAGTTTTTTTTAAGTTGCCTGGTACTCACAATAATTACCCACGTATGGATATAAATATGTCGCATTATGGAGCATAGAAGTAACTGATGTAAATCTTAGGAAACGAATATCACGTTGTTCGCTTGATGTGACGGTGATTTTTCTTTATTCTGCTGCAATTCCACCTGTAAAGCTTCCTGTCAGTATTGATACATGTAAAGTTTAGTCCAAGTATTATTAATGCCAATTTTTTTGTCCCAGGTTTTACTTCATTAAACGTGTTACTTTTCGTACATTTTGTCTGGTTTTTGTAAATGAAGGAAGTCGACAGTTTATAGTTTAGTATCCAATTGGAGCTTTGACTCAGAATAGAAAGAGTTTTGGGCATAAAGTATTTGTTTTGTGGATTACAGTAGATGAAAATCTTGAATTATGGAGTACACCTATTTTCTAAGAAATATTTATTGCATTGTATTTGATTAAGAGAATACATTTTCGACGGACAGGTATTATTATTCTACGCTGGTCAAAATTAGCCTCATAAACTCATATTCTACGTAATATTCAATATTTTGTTCGGATTTATGTCAATTTATCCCAAATATATCAGGAGAAGCATAAGGACATTTTACTTTCTAAGCAGTAATGACGAAGAAACGTCGTAATACTCTTTCTTGTACATACTCAGTATAGGAAAAGTATATTACTAGGGGAGCGGCACGGGATTTGAGGAAATTTTGTCTTTTATGCATATCAGCTGACGTCAACTCTTCATAGGCATATCACAGAAACCACAAAATAAGTCTGTTTGAAGTGACTAAATACTCTGAACTTTGTTATTTAGTTCACTGTCAATTGATAATCGTTCTGCTAGTTTAGTAAAACCAAAATTTGAATATTACTCAAAATCTTATTCATTCATAATCCACTTGGCAGCTTAAAATTAGAAATATGACTGTTTCCTACAAGAAGGATTTCTGAGCATTTACTATGTAGTGATCAATAAAACATTACACTGAACAGTCCACTTAAATTTCTCTTCTGCATTGCTTTATGTGTTTATCATGTATCTTTGACCATAGGATGGTCAAGAATTTTGAAGGTAATTTTCAACTTACTTATAAGTAGTTTAGATGAATCCTGGTCAAGATTTGAGCAACAGGTGAAAGATAACAGATGTAAGTTATATTTACATAACTCTCATCATGTTTGAAATAAGAAATTTAAACCTTTTCACATAGAAGTCTGATTTGGGCTTCTTCGTGGAAATAACCAAAATCTACACTGGAAGTGAATTAGACATTATAAACAATATTCTTGTATTAGATACTGGCCTAGATACCAACTGTCCATCAAACCTGAGTGAAATTATAAAATATTTATAATTATGTTTAAGATCAAAATATTTTACGTTTGAGTAAGATTTATACAAAAGAGTAAAAGGCATTACAACAGGCTCATTGATATCTCTCATAGTTACCACTTTGTTCTGAATTTCACTGGAAAACAATGCGAGGATGAAAAGTTCGATTACTCGGAGAATATGGTGAGATAAGCGGATGATACGTTCATAGTCATTGGGTATAATAACCTGAGTGAGATTTTCAGACACATAAACAGCGAGTCGAAAAAACCACACTCTCTAAAGAGGTAAGACGTGATATTAATCAATTGGCTTTTCTGGACTGCATGGTCGAAAGACAAAGGAATAGTAACAAAATGAAGATAAATATATTCAGAAAACCAAAACATTCAGATAGATACCTGGATCACCATTGTCCAAATACATTACCCACTAAGTTGAAGGTTGCTAGGAATATCAACAACAGAGTTAATCGTCTAGTGAGAACGGAAGACAACAAAAATAATGAGCCAAAGTTTATTCAATCTACACTTATAGTAAAAAAATCTTGAAAAATGAAGTGAAAAACAGTTCAAAGAAATAGATCAACACTGTGGTGACTACGAGTTCCAAAAAACATAGGAATAAATCTGAGGAATTCTCAATGAACATGAAATAAACGTTCGTTTCCATACAACAAATAATCTACATTCTGCTTTGATGAAGGTCAAAAATGTAAAACCGAGAAAACGTCATTAGAATTGTGATGCAATATATATGAGGGAAACATCCGGAGAGATGATTGTGAGTGTCAAAGAATATATACACAGTCTAAAACAAATTCAAAAGACCTCAGTAGATATTCAGAGATTGGAGAATAGATCAACGATAGCACTACATTCGATAGAAACAGGACACAAGATTGATTTCGATGGAATCAAAGTTCTGCACAAGAGGGAATGATTACGAAAAACCTTAATATACAGGTTAATCCTAGAAACTTGAGAAAAAGAGATGGAGTTCATCTGGTTGCACCGTGGCAAATAATTATTAACAAATAGACTTAAAAAAGCCAAAGAATCATTCATAGTTGTGTTCCATTTTATTCTATTCCTATTTTCACTAATTTGTCATCACCAAGCAAATGATCATCTACAATAAACAGTGCGTTACTAATTTTATCAGTAGTTACCACTAAAGTTATTATTTATTAATTCGTTCCTCAGCATTCAACAAACAAATAGGAAATAGAAAAAGCTGAGTCTTGCAAACATCAGTCCATTCTAGTTTTTACATAATTTTTGCCACTTACTTACAGCAGGTACATATAATTCATGTATTGACAGTCATGAAACCTATGAACTCTTTTATCTTGCAGTACAAAACACACAGACAGGCTTACTTTCATCCATCGTATGAATCAGGGCACACTGGATGTCTTTTAATCATACTGAAAAGTAATCACAATACACAGGCACTTGGACAATGAGGCGAAATACATGAGTTTTGACCTGTTATATATATACATATATATATATAATAGTAATGTAAATTTTGATTATTTCACTAAAGAAGCTCTGACCAGACTGCTGCGAGAAATGTGCGGAACACTCTAAGACACAAAGAAATCTAACTTTTATCTAATGTCTACTTATAAGTAGTTAAAACTTTTGAAGGAAAAAACTATTAGCTTATTAATGAAGTTTCGAAAATGTAATCGTTAGCAAAATCATGCATACAATTGAAAGATAAAAACTCGATGTAAATTTTTATATACAATGATTCTCAATACAAGGATCTAGGAGAACTAATATTCACTTATGAAATAGCTGGCCTTATTTATTGGTTTAACGGTCAGTTAGCTTATGCTTAATTGGCCAACTTTTCAATTATCGTCTGCAAATTACCATGCTCCTTTCTGACTAATTCAATCAGTTCTTTGGTGTTTTGTTCAAAACCCATTTCTCGAAGCATACATAGCGTTTTATTGACATCTTCATCTGTATCTACAGCAGTAGATGATGATGATGGCCTTGAATCAGAAGTAACTGATTCCTCCTCATTGACATAGTCATCATCTTCCAAGTCATCTGCGCTAACATCGGCAGCGACAATTTTAACTGCTTTCACCACCGGACACGGAAATTCCGTGTTGTCTCCGGTAATTAGAATAGGATGCTGTGAATGTTTGTTATCGTTGAAACACGTTGGACATAAAACAACTTTTGGACATACAACACATGTGTATCGATCCCCTTGCCAATTTTGTTTGTTGCACACATTGCATATTAACTGCATGGTAACAGGTAATTCAGGCTCACAGTATTCTCGTTCTTTATTAAAATCTGCTCTAGAGGCACGATCACGAAAATCTTTAGGCAAATTCTCCGGTCTACATCCACCATAGAACAAAGGTAGTTTAGTTTCGCTTAACTTAAAAACCGGGAAGCAAACATTAGTGGTGTTTTATCTTCACGTTCGTAAATCATTGTAACAATTGCTTCGCGTAGACTATTTGAAGTTGATATTGTGCAATATTCTGTTCCATCTGTATAATTTAAATAAAAGAAATATGAAAATGATAATGATAATAATAATAATAATAATGAATGGCATTTTCAAAATGATTTAGATAGCACAAATTTATCATGTGCATGTATGTTTGCATATTTTCATGATTCAAGTTACGAAAATGTGAAACCAAGCACTCTATAGTGTGGGTTTGTTCAACACTTTATTCTTCATATTTGTATATCAAATATTATGTGAAGTTTACCCGACACGTATCTCGACTACATACCTTATATTTGATTGGTTTTTCATATCTACTTTTTGTGATTGGTTATCTTTGAATTTGTTTTACTGAATGACGTAGTTTGTAAGTTCTAAGTCATACACACAGTTTCTTTTTATCAACTTTTCATGATCTCTCAGATATTATCACTGTAAGACTACCAAATAACCGTTCAGGTTTCAATGCATCAAGGTAGAAGGTTGCATGAGGGAAAGATAAGGAGTTGAACAGCACATGATTAGAAGTCAGGAAAAGCTATAGGTTAAAAAGAAATGAGAATTAGTAGATAAAGGTGTGTTTCGATAAGATTTAAATAAAGAAAGGGTATGGATGCATGTGCGCCACGATGATCAACACGAAACTGATATCGGAAGTAAGCTTTGTAGTTTATATTTAGGAGGAACAAAAGCAACACTAATTGGAGTGTTTTTTGTATACTAGTTTGGTAGTTATCTAAAACCTAAAGAAAAAACTAATAATGACAATTAGTTATCATTTATAAAATTGTGTATGCCATAAGTTTTGTCATGTTGAACAGAAATAGACGTGATGGTAGATGTTACAGTCAGAAGTCAGTTTGTCTTACAATAAGACGCATAAAACGAATCTTTGTCTCATTAAAAGGAATTGAATCAAACACCAGTCGATCTAGAAATCTAAGATTTATCACTGAAACCATGGTGTCAGTCTTCGTGTCAAGTGAATAAAGTAGAACACTCTAAATGTAGTTGCAAGAAGAAACTAAGACGGACAAACTGCACAGGAATCGGTTACACTATAGTAACCTTGACAGCTGTCATCTCATATATGTTGATTTGTGTTTGTGGATCACATTACCACTTCCGTCACTTACCTAAACTTTAAAACTCTATAACGTTGTGTGCTTGATGTCGGACATTTGTAGTCAGATGATCAAAAGCCATAGTTTTGGATATACTTTGAGTAACTTAGTTGTAAGGTCTCTCTGATGAGTACCATCAAGGATGTTTTCTACGGAATGTCTTCAAAAAACTGACATTAAGAGCTTCTGTTACTCATCGATAAGGTTCCTTTCTCCCATACACCTCAGTGATTTTGTAATAGTGTACTGTCTGTTTTACGCTGATAGGTGGTATGTAGCTCAGGCTGAGAAAGAAATCTGTTTTGTCTTCTATAAGCTTACTCTTCAAACAATAAACATTATATAGGGTGATGTCATCAGTACTGACTTTAGCGTTGAAAGACACTTAAATATCCAGCAGTTATAACAACCAAAGGGAGAATGCTGTGTCGGAGGTAAGTGCTTCCCAGCAGATTACAAACACAACGGTAAGATTACTTCTTTCTGCGGTATAACTCACATCTTCATAAGTCTTAAAAACCATTTCAGTCTTTTGTTATCTTTTATTCTTGTGGGTTAGAGAAATAATTACAGATCATGTAATCTTGACCTTAAGTCTTGACTTTTAGTTAAGGAAGTTCAGGAAGTACAAATATTACAAAACAAAAGCAACAAGTGAATGCTTTCAGTACTTTAAATATCTCCTCGAAATCATTTAACAGAAGACATTTAACAAAGAGATCATCTTTGCACTGGTATTATTTTCAATCTGTGCAGCTGTGCATGTTAACATCATCGGAAAATCATAATTCAAAACATATGATGTGACAGAAATAGGATCGTAAAAATACAAGATTATGGGTTATGAGTTTTCACAGTTCGAGTCTATTGCAAGTCAAATGACTCAACAAGCTCCTTTGGAATACAGAATTTAGCATGGAACATATCACTTGATATGATTCCTATAAGAATAAAGCTTTGGCAACGTGGTAAAATCCAGCTTCCCTTCAGTTAAATTACTAGATGCGTTGCAGAGTGAAACAGTATTATCTACTGGATTAGGTTTTGTGCACAATTTACTGTCCATTGTCAGATTGAGGTACGAAATGACTACGACAATAAGGCTATGGACAGTAAATTGTGTCCATAACAGAGTCTAGTGAATAAGACTGTCTTACTGTGTGATACATCTGATTCATCAACTAAAATGTTATTAGGTTAGGATGGATGGTGGCTAGAAGTATTATCCAGATCACTGATTTTGTCCTATTTGTGACTCATCAGCAGATAACTGACTGGAAAAAAAATCAACGTGGTACCTCACGCACAGGTGCGCTGGGTCAAGTTGCCACACTTCACAGTAGTACACAAAGAAACAGATGGATAGAAAAAAGATTGGTATCAATGTAGAGAAGGTAGTGTAAGAGAACCAAAAATCTGAAGATAAAGGTTAATGTGATTATTCAAGCCTTATAAAATGTCAAACGGTGAATTAATCTGTATCACTGTGACTGATTTCCAACCATGTCACCAAGAGCCCTCAGTCACTAATCCCTATTGTTTCAGAGGCCCCAACCAGACAGTCTACATCTCCTCACATAACTCAGGTCAACAGACAGGGACTTCATTGATTGGTGCCAAGTCTTGGTGTCGTCACACTGAAACCTCTTCTAGCGTAGGTTTTATAAAGTGAAAGATGAGTAAGGCGAAAAGCTTTTAATTCATATGTGCATACGAGTTGGTAGACGCACAGGGAGTCGGTCAATAGCAGCAACATATTCTTCTCACTTAACTGAAACGTTAGGCCTATGAAGAAAGGCATTTTGATTTGGCCAGTATAAAATGTCTTCATCAGTAATTATCTTAGCCAATATCTCAATATTTATGTTGACAAATCTCTATCAAACTTAGATTTAAAAACTAAGAGGATATAAAGCTTGTATATTCTCTGGTACATAGCTATTTCACATTAATGAAACCTTTACGACATACAGTTTTAAATAATAAGCTTTTAGGGAGATTTTATCAATCTCTGGAAATATTTTTATCGTGAGTACTATGGATTATATGAAACAAGATATGGATCAGATTCCGTTTCATATCTACAGGCACGTAACTATAAAAATTCATAATCTGTTATTTTGAAATGGATTTCCTGCAGACAGACTTTACTACTGCTTCATTCTTACATCTTGTTAATTGTCCTCTAGAAAGGATGTCTTAGATTCATACCTTTTTTTCTAATATAGAATTGACTATGGAGGAATTCTTGTTTAAGTGAACTAGAATGTTGTTTGTCGATACTTGAAATTTTTTTGTAGTGTTCCATCTTTGTTGTCAGATGAACTTCTACAAGTATCAGTAAGCAACAGTTGATATCTGTTGAACAAGAGTTAGATGTCATGCCTTAAAAGGATAGTCGGCAACTCTGATACCTGAAGCATTGGGTACTTGGTTCAAGTCTCAGTAGGCATACCACCTCCAACTGGGGTAGGACAAAGCACATATCCCGAAGTAGAATATCCTTTGAATTATCTGTATTTGAAACAGTCTCATCGAAATCATATCTTAGTGAAATTACAGTAAATCTTTCATCCTTTCCTTCCTGATAATCTACCCTATTCAACTCCTTATACTTTGGGATTTAATAAAGTTCAGAATACCTATTAACCATAATGTCTGCTTACAGAAAAGATAACTCTTAAAACAACGTAATGATAAGACGAAGATTATGTGAAACATGTGATGTTGTATTAGCTCTATACATTTCGAACAATCTGATCACACATGGACTTGTCCAACTATGTATATGGTTTATGATATTTATATGTTATATATGGTAGTATTGATTTTAGTTTTAACGTGATTAAGGTTTCTCTGTCCTTCCTATTCCTATGTTCTCTATTAACTTCATTGACCCTTTTCGTAAATTTTCATGTAAATAGTTCAACAAGTCCATGTGTAATCGGATTGTTCGAAATGTATAGCGCTAATACAACATCACATGTTTAAGATAATCTTTGTCTTCTCATTACGATATTTAAATTTATCAAAGGGATCAGTTACTTTAAATAATTCTTTAGTCAAACAACCATCTGACCTATTCACTTAGTGATTAAGTAGTGTTTCAGTGCTCATGACCACAAGTTCCCTTAAAAACTCATTCCTTCTTCAAGTTCCATCTGTTAAAGTGTCAGGATTTAAATACCTGTAGATTATTAGTAAATTACCATTTAATTATTATTATCTACTAACTATTCGACTCAAGAACATTGTTACCTAAGTACTCATGCAAACAACAGATTAGTCTTTTTGCTGCGAAGATGGCATTGATGAAATTCTCGTTTGACAGTTATAACAAGTAAGATATCACCATAATTAGACTAGTGGTTCACAAGGAAGTGAAATAAATTGACTGTGCATGGGTATTTATAGCGTGGATCCAACCTCACTCAGGTATACTTGTGTGTGTTCGTATTGAACGTAAGTGATTGATATTTTATCTTTCTTTTATCAGACTTTTTATCACAAAGCTGTAGGTCGCGTTTACTCTGTTGTGATTTACTTTTATTTCTTGTTCCAATGAATAAGTAAAGGTAGCGTTGTTCCATTTGGTTGACATTTTCCACTTATTTGACTGATGAGGGTTATCTTAACTCAGTTACTTTATTGTTTTCTAAAGGAAATAAGAACCTAAAGCTGATTGGTCAATTTACTTCGCCTGAAAGGCAGTAGACTTTGATTGGCTGATTCGCTACAAGTGACCCATGAGTTAATGTCAGATATTTGGAGTTCATTAGAAAGAATCTGTCTAACCTCGTCTAGTTGACTAGTCCACTAGTTACTAGCCGGTCCTAAGCCAGAATAAAGAAGGAAAGTTGGGCATAGGGCTAGCAACCTTACCCCGGAAATCTTATCCAACCGCTACAGGAAC